TCTTTCTTTTTTAATATTTATTTTTATTTATTTACTTGGCTGTGCTAGGTCTTAGCTGTGGCATGTGGGATCTACTTCCTGGCCAGGGATCGAACCCAGGCCTCCTGCTTTAGGACCACAGAGTCTTAGCCACTGGACCCCCAGGGAAGTCCTATAATACTTTCTTTTTATTTAAATAACCTGTGTGACACTGTAAATTAATTCTTAAATATTGAGTTTAGTTTTCACATTAACTTAACAGCTGCAAAATTGGGGGAGGGGGACCCACAACCTCACTATCCAAACACAACTATTTTTAGCACTAAAGCATATTTCTCTCCCATTTTTCCCATGAATCTTTCCTCAATACCACAGTGAGCACAGAATATGCAATGTTCTCTTTTTATATCAGACACTTAATCTTCCCTCATTCATAATAGAGATGAAGGTACAGGGCAGAATGATCTTCCAAAAGGGGAACAGGTCTTCCTGGCAGTCATGGCATCCGCCTGCCCGACCAGCAGTCTTACCAAGGTGGAAGGATTCTTGAGCACCTCCCCATCCTGCTTTCACTTTTAAATAGGATCATTTTCAAATGAGTCGAGTGGTTGTTACAACAGGCCAATCCTTCTCTTTTCCCAGTTCTTCTCTCTTCCATATTCTTGACAAGCTACAACAGCTTTGAGAAGATTTTGTTTCTTCACTGTATTCCTCATGCTTTTCTTGCTGTTGTTTAGTTGCTAAGTCGTGTCCAATTCTTTGTGACCCCATAGACTGTAGCCCACCAGGCTCCTCTGTCCATGGGATTTCCCAGGCAAGAATATTGAGGTGGGTTGTCATTACCTTCTCCATGGGACCTTTCTAAGCCAAAGATAAAACCTGTGTCTCCTGCATTGGCAGGCAGGTTCTTTACCACTGCACCACCAGGGACTTATTTGCTAAATAATAAAGAAACTCATCCAGCTTTTTTGAAACAAAAATGACAGGAAATGTTCATGAGCTAGATTTTGGAAAAGAACCAATAACTAAACTAGGCAGTGGGACTTGAAGAAATTGATTCTGAGCTGCACAGGCTGCAGGCCACACCAACCATCTGAAACTGAAGATACCACCTGGCTTCTGAGGAAATTATGGGTAGCAGGTAGTTCTGGGAGATTTTAAAGCACATGTTATCCTAACGTCTATCAAGTTGGTGACAACAGTAGTTGAATATTTTCCTTTCATAGTAAACAGAGGTTTTAAGACACTAGAAAATGGATAGAAGGACAAAATATTTCTCCTATAAATAGACAATAGATAGGTTGGGGGTCAAGAATAAAATAAAATAAAAAGCAAGGGACCTGGTGATTTTTGAAAATTGGCTGTCAAAGTATTCTGGCTCTGCAGAAAGTGAAAGCAAAAAAGAATTCACTCATCTGGCTCCCACTACTTTTCTAGACAAATAGCACACAACATTAATTCACTTTACATAAAGACAAATGAAAACAGGCCTGCAATGCATCACAACCAGAAAATATTTAAGATGATGCTGCTGAGCAATGAAACTTCTAGGAAAAGTTATATTCTGGTACCTAGCCTCAGAGTAGCATTTATATGCTAACGACTGGAACAAGTAGGGACTAATGGAGAGAAGAATTTTGTGGAAGAAGGATTCATGGTTCTTTTGCCTCCGCTCCATCTTCCTTTAAGGAAAATAAACTCTTGCCCCTTTAGGATAAGATTCCTTGAAGGGTAAAAGAGAATAATAATAATGCAAACTATTGAGACTTGGCTTCTCTCTAAAATAGTATCACTGACACCTCCCAGTACAGTTTAACACGAAGTACCATGCAAGCTTCAAGAATCATCTGCCAACATCCTCTCTAAAATTCTAGACCTCTAGAAGCAACAGTGCCATCACTTTGGAATGAAGTTTCCCAGGTAATTAATTCTTGGAGTTTTATAGCATTTGTTGGCACATAGCCACTACAGACTTGCTCCAAATTATCAGTTATTTGGAAAATCAACCCAAGAATTTAGTCTTTGACTTTCAAAAAGAATGGTTGAATCAAAACATTTGCTTTCTCTGTGCCATTGTATAATAAAGAGTTTTGGCCCCAAATTTCAGGTTCGTAGACTTTGTAAAATGGAGATCATGTTATAGGCATGAAATTGAGACAAACAGCTTGTTCGCGTGCCAGTGTCCAATATATCCTGCCTACAAAAGCCTCTAAAATACTGACAAAACACGAAACTTGAAGGGAAAAAACCCTCCTGCTGACTCATTCTTCACAGAGAAACATTTATTATTTCCTAGGGCAGTATGCTCAATTTCCACTTCTATTGCTATAATTTCAACTTGTGAATTTTGGAAGGGGCTGAGGGAAGGGAAGCAGAAGAGATCAAAATCCTAGGAAAGATGCATTGCTTTTAAGGGGACTGTAATGAGAACTGCAGAAAAGTTATTGATCCATGCCCTTTTCCTTTTATTTCCAGTATATATTATAGTTGCGTTATTTCCCCATGAAAGTTCAGTGTTTTCATCCAGGGACTTGCAGCAACAGGGTAAATAGCAAATCAGAATTCTGGAGGGTTCATTAGTAAGGAGGTAAAAAGCCTTCAGGAAAATCCAGGCTCCGGGCAAAGAAAAAAGACAAGCACAGTTCAATCTGGAACCATTCCCAGCTTCTCTGGACCACAGCGTGAAAGATCAATGAACATGAAAGTTGATAAAGGAACCAAAAATAAACAAACTTATGTATTCATACACAACGAATGCATGGAATGGTACTGACTGGCACTACTCTAACAAACTATAACCATATATCCTCATCAAACAAGACCTAGCCTGTAAGACAGGTATTAATGGATTGGCCAAAAAGTTCACTTGGATTTTCCCATAACATCTTATGAAACAACGAAAGAACTTTTTGACCAACCCAGCATTTTCCTCAGTTACAGAACTGAAATTCAAAGTCAAGTCTGCTCAACTCCAAAATCCATGCTTTTCCAAACATGTGCTTTGACATACTCCATGGCAGAAGAGAGGTAGAAAATGCTTTCTTTACCAATCGCACTTTAGAATGAAGCTTACAAGAGAATTAATTTTTAAGTTCCAAATTGGGAAAGGAGTATGTCAAGGCTGTATATTGTCACCCTGCTTATTTAACTTATATGCAGAGTACAGCATGAGAAACGTTGNAGGAGAAGGGGAAGACAGAGGATGATATGGTTGGATGGCATCACCGCCTCAATAGACCTGAGTTTGAGCAAGCTCTGAGAGTTGGTGAAGGACAAGGAAGCCTGGCAAGCTGCAGTCCATGGGGTTGCAAAGAATCGGACATGGCTGAGCAACTGAACTGGAATGAATGTGTAATTAAAATCAGTGTTATTTAGAAAATCCAAAGAATATAAAAAACCTAAGTAGAATACATCAATTTCTTCAAAAATTTAAAGTACATCTGGGGGACTCCACACTAAGTAAGCTATTATTTCTCTTTAAATTTTTATCTTCTTTCTAAAAAAGTTTTTAAAGTCCAAAGTACAGAGAGTAGAACTGCCTTCACAACACGCTAGCCTGATTATGATACTGCCTGGAACACACAGTCCAGCACCTCCCAGGAACTCATATTATTTGAGCAACTCAGAAGAAATGCCTACTTTGCCCTCTGTTCTCAGATAAAATAGTAGTTTCCATTGGCCTTTCCCCCTCTGAAGGCAAATTCTTGCCTCACCCATATCTGGTGCCCATGGAAGGCTGAGGAATAGAATAGAGAAGCAGGAGGGACAGAGACCCACGTAGAGTGAATCTTGGATTTTCTAGGAAAGCCTCGATTGGAGAAATATTTTCCCATCATCAGACGACTCTAGAGTATTAAGCTTTAAGCCCAGTGTATGACAGTCAAGAGAGTCAGAATCAGAGGATGATTTCGGTTTTCCCCCATGAAACAAGAATTATGAAATCCAAACTTTATTAGTTATTCTAACTACATAAAGGAATTCCTGAGACTGATTTGCCTATTGGCAAATATAGTACGACCACACATTGAAGGAGAAAGCACAGGACAGAGGAAAGACCAAGGACTTGCACTCAACTCCAAGACTAGCCACTTGTTCTGGGACCTTGAGCTAATTTCTTCATCTCTGAACCCCCAGTTTCCTTAACTGTAAAATGTGGATACTAAGTAAGTAGCTCAAAAAGTTGTAATGAAAATTAAATAAGGCAATACATAAATTTCCCTGAATACAGTTTAGTGCTTAAGAAATATTCAATAACTGCTACTTTCTTACATTTGAGTATGGACAACTCAACTACATGCAATACCAGCTGAGCTATGCTCATTCAAGCTGTTTTCACCAATCTGAGGTTGTATGGTCCACAGCATCCAAAGTTCAAGAGATAACATCAACTTGGTACGATATATACAATGGAGTATTACTCATCCATAAGAATGAAATAATGCTATTTGCAGCAACATGGACAGACCTAGAGAGAGTCATATTGAATGAAGTAAGTCAGATGGGGAAATATCTTTTGACATCCCTTATATGTGGAATCTAAAAAGAAATGATACAAATGAATTTACTTATGAAACAGAAACAGACTCACAGACTTTGAGAAGGAGCATCTGGTTGCCAGAGGGGGAAAGGCTGGGGGAAGGGATAGTTAGGGTGTGTGGGATGGAGACATGTACACACTGCTATATTTAAAATGAATAACCAACAAGGACCTACTGTATCACACAGGGAACTCTGCTCAATGTTATGCGGCAGCCTAGATGGAAGGGGGGCTTGGGGGAGAGTGGATACATATATTAATATAAGTATGGCTGAGTCCCTTTGTTGTTCACCTAAAATGACCACAATATTATTTGTTAATTAGGTATACTCCCCAGTACAAAATAAAGTTTTTGAGAAAAAAAAAGAAATAACATCAACAAAGAGCCGAACATGACTTAGTGACTAAACAACAAAGATACATATAATACTTACCACTCCCTACCCTTCAAAAGGTATAGTAAATACAATTAGCAAAAACCTACCTTGGTTGGTTCTCAGCCGTGAGGTTCTCTCCCCTCTGATAGTCACTGTCGGCCACCTGGGTTGTAGACCTCTTCACAATTTGCTTAAGTTCCTGCTCCAAGCGTTCTGTGATTGCCTTCACTGTCTCTGGGATCTTCTTCAGTTTGGCCAGCCCCTTGATGAGGATGCCCATAAAGAGGGTGCTGTTCTCCTCTGGATCCAACTCCAAATCCTCCTTGATGTCCTGGAGGTTTAAATCCTTCACTGCTATAAAAAAAAAAAAAAGAAAGAAAAGAAAAATCAATCAGTAGCCACAGACTGCATAACCACATCCAAAACTAGCATGGGTCTGAATAGATACATGTATACGTAGGGTTGAGTACCTTTTGTTGTTCACCTGAAACTACCAAACTGTTAGCTGACTCTACCCCGATACAAAATAAAAAGTTTAAAAAAAAAACCCAGTATGGATCTAAAAATTGGGACCACTCCCTTAAAAGGAATCATAGATGCTTTTCATTAAATCTAATTAAATTATACTTACACAGTAACTCTCAAAGAATCATGAAAAAAAAATTATGTTCCTCAAATTATACCCAAACCATCAGTTAATAAGGGGTAGAAACATTAAAAGTAAGCAAAACTTCACGGAAAATTTCCTACACTTCTGCAATGAGTCAGTTGGTTTGTGACATTTATCAACATTCACTGTTTATAAAATGCCATACTTGATGCTGCAGAATTCCAAAGAGCCACATTGTAGTCTTAAATTCATATTTATTAATTAGGAGCGATAAGTAGCTTGATAAAAAGACAAATACATGTGGAAAAGAAAAGACACATAAGTTAGAAGTATAACAGAGTAAGAGATGAAGAAAAAGAAAGGAAAAGCAGTATGTACAAGTGAAACAACTGTGAAGAATAGAAGAATATTCCCTAAATACAAAAAAAAAAAAACTTACTATCTTTCTTTAAATACATGTCTAACATAATATCATTATCTACTAAAGACAGGTCTCGCCAATCCGTGGAAGTTTTCTGAGTAGTAGATCTTTAGACGACAGCTTTCATCTAAACTGTAAGGTTTGGGGATGAAAGAAATAGCTTCTAACACTGGCTTTTAACCCCTGTGGGAGTGGAAAGACGGCAGGCCTGGGATCTGAGACGTCTGTCATCTACTGAAAACCATAGGCCTTTCCCTCAAACTAACAAACATACAAGTAATACTTCTCATATAATTTCAGGAGTTTCCACAACAACCAGAAGAACTACAAATTAAAAACCTCTCACCTAAAAATAATTTTCTTATTTTACGAATGGTGGACTACAATAGACAAAAGCAAAAGTGAGTAAAAGCCTAAGGATGGACCCTAATCAAGTTGTTCCCATCCTCCCCTCTCTCCTTCACTCTTCTAAACACCTCAAAGGCTTTTAAAATGTGATCCCTTCAAGACTTCCCTGGTGGTCCGGTGGTTGAGAACCCACCTGCAAATGCAGGGGACACGAGTCCGATCCTTGGTCCAGGAAGCTCCCATATGCCGCAGGGAAACTAAGCCTGAGTGCCACAATTGCTGAAGCCCACACTGCAAAATTTTTTAGAGACTTTTGAATTTTTTTTAAATGTGGCTCCTGAAAGACTGTGTACAGTCTTTGGTAGATTCAAGCTCAACTATACTACAGACCCAATCAAAGTTCTTCAGCACCACTGGAGTATTTTTTGGTTTTGGGGTTTTTTTTTCCATTTATTTTTATTAGTTGGAGGCTAATTACTTTACAATATTGTAGTGGTTTTTGTCATACATTGACATGAATCAGCCATGGATTTACATGTATTCCCCATCCCGATCCCCCCTCCCACCTCCCTCTCCACCCCATCCCTCTGGGTCTTCCCAGTGCACCAGGCCCGAGCACTTGTCTCATGCACCCAACCTGGGCTGGTGATCTGTTTCACCCTAGATAATATACATGTTTCGATGCTGTTCTCTTGAAACATCCCACCCTCGCCTTCTCCCAGAGTCCACAAGTCTGTTCTATACATCTGAGTCTCTTTTTCTGTTTTGCATATAGGGTTATCGTTACCATCTTTCTAAATTCCATATATATGTGTTAGTATACTGTAATGGTCTTTATCTTTCTGGCTTACTTCGCTCTGTATAATGGGCTCCAGTTTCATCCATCTCATTAGAACTGATTCAAATGAATTCTTTTTAATGGCTGAGTAATATTCCATGGTGTATATGTACCACAGCTTCCTCATCCATTCGTCTGCTGATGGGCATCTAGGTTGCTTCCATGTCCTGGCTATTATAAACAGTGCTGCGATGAACATTGGGGTGCACGTGTCTCTTTCAGATCTGGTTTCCTCGGTGTGTATGCCCAGAAGTGGGATTGCTGGGTCATATGGCAGTTCTATTTCCAGCTTTTTAAGAAATCTCCACACTGTTTTCCATAGTGGCTGTACTAATTTGCATTCCCACCAACAGTGTAAGAGGGTTCCCTTTTCTCCACACCCTCTCCAGCATTTATTGCTTGTAGACTTTTGGATAGCAGCCATCCTGACTGGCGTGTAATGGTACCTCATTGTGGTTTTGATTTGCATTTCTCTGATAATGAGTGATGTTGAGCATCTTTTCATGTGTTTGTTAGCCATCTGTATGTCTTCCTTGGAGAAATGTCTGTTTAGTTCTTTGGCCCATTTTTTGATTGGGTCATTTATTTTTCTGGAGTTGAGCTGGAGGAGTTGCTTGTATATTTTTGAGATTAATCCTTTGTCTGTTGCTTCGTTTGCTATTATTTTCTCCCAATCTGAGGGCTGTCTTTTCACCTTGCTTATAGTTTCCTTTGTTGTGCAAAAGCTTTTAAGTTTTATTAGGTCCCATTTGTTTATTTTTTCTTTTATTTCCAATATTCTGGGAAGTGGGTCATAGAGGATCCTGCTGTGATTTATGTTGGAGAGTGTTTTGCCTATGTTCTCCTCTAGGAGTTTTCACTGGAGTATTTTGAAATTTATTTAGGGAAGAATGAAAATATCCCAGTATATGGGATGAGTCCTTCTAACCACTGGATAAAGTCTCTGAAACCTCTACTTCAGATAGTATGTGCGCTATTCCCCTCAATTTGTTCTTTTGCTCCCAACTCATAAAATGCACTAACGTACAAAGGTAATGACTTCACTTAATGACATCCATGATATAATTACACAAATCTGTCCCTAAGTGAATAAGCCCTCTACAGATCATCCACAATGCTGTTGCCTTAACTTCAACGCACTAGACCCTGGAAACCCACAACAAGAGAGGAGACAGAATGATCAAATCCATATGGTTTCCTTCACAGCATAGAGGGTATCTGATAATATGGTAATTAATTTTAAATATTTTAATACTAGCAAACTGGGAGTAGAACCAAGAAGCTTTCAGCCTCTAAACTGACATGACAGTTCTGAAGTCAAGTGAAAAAAAAAAGTCATCAATATTTCCAGCCATGACATTCCAAGAACAGACATTTTAGTTACTGGTTTTGTTTTACACATAAAGAACTGGACACCTCAGGCTGCAGAAGTACTCCATCCTGCAAAACCAACCTCAACAGTAGAAAAGTACTTAGCGGCCAGGGAGCCATCTAAATGTAGCATGACAGAGAGGGAAAATGAAGCAAAACCTCTAAGCAGAGCTTTAGGCAGGAAAAAAAGTAGTAGAAATTCAGCTGGGACAGAATGATCGTCACGAAAGAGCACATGAGTCACAGACAGGACATATCAGAGGGCCACCTAAACGTCACAACTTGCACACGTTCTGAGTGATGACAAGTGCTAGGTGATAAGGTACACGCAGTTGAAATCAACAAGCCCCTAGACTACATGGCATACAGATACTTATACGCACACTAATATGACAGATAGCCTATTAAAAATAACAAATAAGCAAGGTATGAATAATAAAATGCCACAGCCCCAAATGGCACATTTGCTTACAAAATTATCTGTCTCCCGAAATCTCCTAGAGCATAAACACTGAACAGAGCCAATATTAATTAATTTATATTATCTATTTCACTTGCATCAGCTGAAAATTAAAAGGCGATTCTAAAGAATAATATAATCAGCCATGAAGACGCATCTAATAATCACAAAAACCCGGTGAGGTCAGATAGAATTATTGATGCTTTAAGGAAAAAGCCTTATATAAAAATAATTTAGCTGAAACTCAGCAAGTCTTCACACCACCATTAGAACAAAATACGCATATTTCAAAACTGATAAACCCTAAATCACTTTTTTAATTAATTAACTTATTTTACTTTACAACCTCGTATTGGTTTTGCCATACATTGACTTGAATCCGCCATTTGCATGTACCTCTATTATTATAACATGTATTCAGTGTTTTAGAACACTTTAAAATTAGAAATACTTTATACCTTTCCCAATATTCTTATCTGATTTTTTATATTTACTTTTTTTTTTCTTTTTCCTTTTTGCTGAGGACCTTATGAAGTGAGAACTTCTTGAACTTGGTTTAGAAGACTTTAACCTACAGGACTGTGCTAAATGTTAAAAGACTTCGATGTCTTTTAACCAATTCTTTCTACTGAAATGTTACTGGTCCCAGTTGTTTCTTTTAGACACACACATATTACTAAACAGGCAAACAGATAAGACAGGGCAGACAGATAAGCATATATATCTACACCTCAGTGGATCTGTGGGATTGTGGAAGGTGGGTTTAACTAGGATACTATGGTAGTCACAAAGGAATTAACTAGATGCTATCTAAGGTCTTTTCAAGCTCTATCGTTCCCTGATTCCATTAAACCATAGTTAACTCTAGGTATCTCTGGTTCTAAGGCCTACAGCTAATCATAAGAGCCCATTTAGTAACAGACAAGCAAGGTGAATAGTCCATTTATGCAGCTAAATATCTTATAAAAGAAAACTACTTTTCAGTTCATCAGTAAATATAGAAAGCAACCTAGACCAGTCCCTGGCTGCTTTATTTTTCTCAGAATGTGTGGTAAGAAGACAGGTAACACAGGCCAGGCCTATACGCATGTCATTAAACTGCAGAAGCTAAGGGCCCTGGTAATACACTTAAACCTTTTATTGAATATGCCATTTTATTTATCATTTATAGTTACACATGTCAAGTAAGGCATAAGAGTTAATGGTAGTGTTTCCTATAGAAATTTCTATAGATGTCACTCCTTACACTATGCAGGGTCCATAAATTATGTAAAGTTCATATATATGATTTCAACCTGTAGAATTT